GGGGGGGGGGGGTTGTATCTTCCTCTTTCACTTTTAGACCAAGTCATATGCCAATCTGACTGTCATATCCCCCTTCAGTTCCTGGCTTTTATTCATACTTACACGTTTTTATTCATACTTACTATTGTGCCAAAGTCAAAATCCCACTAATACCCCAGAGAATGGTATTCACAGGCAAGCACTTTTTACTGATATTTTGACATCAGCAAAACTACAATGAGGAATAATTTGCTTCCTAGGTTAAGTGTGATTTAGGCCCCTGGCACATGTTCATTTAAAGGCACCATGGGATCTTATCCTCAATCCCAAAAATCACACCATCTGCCATGCCACGCATGCATGGCTGGAGGCATGATAGTTTGGATCTGGGATCAGATCCCAATCGTACCCATTCTATCTGCCAGTTCAGGGAAGCCTGGGATTGCAGTATAAATGTTCAGTGTAATGGGGGCCTAAGGAACTTTTCTAAATCATGCTGTGTGGGGGAGAATTTCCTGACACATTATATTGTTCAATAAGCTGGTTAGCTGCACAATAAATGTAGACATGTTACATGTAAAAAGTAATTACCACATGGTAAAAATGGCCAACCAGCCATAAATATATTGCTTGAAAAATGTAGAACATTTTGCATCTATTTTCTACCAAACTTTAAATTGAATGTGTGGCATGTTACCTTTTGGGTGATGGGATGTCGGAGAACTCAGCAAAACCTAAGGTGACTGGTCCCTCCCCAACCTCAGCCTCAGCTAATTGTCAGCATCATTGTGGGAATAAGGTTCATCAACTGAGACAGCTCTGGTCTTGATACTGAAAATGGCCAGCTGGGGCAACAAGTTGCAAGGTTCCTGAGTAAGCTGAGATGGGTTTTGTGCCCTGGGAACCTGACTAACCCCAAGCCCAGCAGCCTTTCCAAGTCTCTTTAAAATGCCAGGCTGTGGGGAGCTAGGCTGAACATGCCATCTTGAGATGTCTGTGGGGCATGGGATTCCTGGGATGGTGGCAGGGGGGCCCCAAGAGGCTCCCAAGAGTGCCAGGATCCTGAGGCTTCTAAAAACCATGTATGACTCTGGGTCATTCCAGAAGCATCCTAGCTGATTGTCAGACCTGGCCAGGGATATCTTGAGGTCCAGAACTGGCCCTGAAACTATCCAGGGCTGGGTACAACAATCAGCTCTCAGGGTCTTGAACTTATCCCAGGTCTATCGGTGGCTGCACCTGACAATCAAGTGAACCAGCCTGACAGTCCCACATCTGGAACCTGCTCAGGGCTGGTGGCAGCTCTGGGTTCAGGAACCACCCCTGCCAGATCTTCAGGATCAGGCTGAGAGCAGCTCCATAATGGTACAACTGGGATCAGATTAATTTTATGTCCCAATCCAAACATCACACCTCCTGCCATGTGTGTGGCATGAGGGGGGACACAGTGTTTGGGAAGGGGCATAAAATTCCTTCAATCCCGATCATGTCATTGTTTTAACATCTGTGAGGGGCCCAAAAACTAACTTCAATTTACTCTAATCATCAGCATGGCCATCTGGGGTTCCCATTTGCGGGAAGAAGTTGTTTGATGGCAGTAAGTACCTGAAAAAGAGGTTTCCAGAATGTAGAAGGCTGAGTGTGTTTTCTTTCAGGAGTGTAAGCTCAACACAATTGTCCTGTAATTTTTTTTTACTTTCAAACTACTTGGTTTTATTTTTGCAGTGATGGAAGCTTCACTATGGGTGCATCCACACATGCAATTAATGTGCAGAAAGCTTACTGCACAGTTAATTTACTGCCCTGTGCAGTAAGCTTTCCCTGAGAGCACATCTACATGTGCACCTGTTGGGAGCAAATTTACTCCCTGTGGGAGCTGTTCAGGGCAAGGCTACTCCTGCCCTGTCCTGCCATACTCTTGCATAACCAGAGGGAACTCTAGGCTACCCCAGGTACCAGTTCTCCACACTGCGGGGGGAGCAGGGAGAGCTGTTCCACCCCCAAGGCAGCTGCCTCCCATCCCGCTCCCCTACCCTAGGCAGCTGCCTGATGCCCCCACCCCTGCTCCGAGACTGGAGCAGGGGCTGGGTTATTGCCCCCTGCCCCAGCATCAGACAGCTGCCAGGCCCCAGCTCTGAAAACGGAACCAGGGCTGGGACACTGTCCCCTGCCTCGGCAGCAGGCAGCTGCTGGGGCTGGCTCTGATATCAGAGAGAGGGTTTGGCATCAAGCAGCTGCCTGGGGGAGGGAACAGTTCTCCCACCTCCTGCTGCCCAGGCTGATGTTCCCAGTCAGCTCTAACTGTGCATTAGCTAAGTAGGTAGTAAATCTACTACCTATATTCACAAATAGTAGACAACAGCTCATTAGCCTATTTTAACACACAGTAGTTGCTGCGTAGTTACATAGTAATGCTTTACTGCGCAATACCAAATGTCCTGCTGGTTATAGGAGTCTGCTGAAGGCAGAAGCAACAAGGGGCATGATCTTGCTTTTGGTGGAACCTGCCCACCCCACCACAGCCAACGGGTGAGCTGCTGCCAGGCCAGGCAGACCCTGAGCTGTGGGGGGGGCCCAGTCCTATCCTCCGCGGTAATGGTGAGCCCTGGGGCCAGCAGGGCAGACTATCAGTGGGCCGTGTGCCACCTGAGCTCCCAGGGTCCTGAACCAACTTCCCTGGAACCCCCCACCAGCATGCTGCCTCCCCATGCGGCAGGGCACTGGCGCAGGGTCCAGGCAGCACTGCTTGCAGGGGACGGTGTATAAGTCCAGGTGGAAATTTAAGGGTAAATATTTTGCCTTCAAACTTTGACTTGCATACTGTGAAATACAGAACATATACCCCACATTAAAAACATTCTTTCTGCTCAGAAAAATCCTTGAATTTTTAAAAATCTTAATCTGAAGATGATATAAACTCTTGTACATGCGCACATAACGCATTCAAGATGAAGAGTGAAACGCCTGTAGATGAAGAGTGAAAATGTTGTTCCTTATATTTTTTAAAGCAAATTTACTTATTAATTAAATATAGAGTTGCATAGCTAACTGTCAAAGGATGGTCTGTGGTAAAGATGCAGATGATGTGGCATGTTAAACAGATGCATTTCTTTTACCACCTTTCTGTTCTGATAGCTGGAATTTGCCAACGACAGGGATTCTTCTGGGAAAGGGTGAAGATAGGGTAACAAACTGATAATTTATCAGCAAAAATAAAGGTGGTGTTTGTCAGTGCTCACACTGATAAATTCCCTTTCCTAACTAGAATCAGCTTCTCTTATGTGACTCCAAATGGACAGGTGACAAAAACATTTTGGACCTATATAAAAATACCAACCTAACTTAAAGAATTTATTGGCAAGTTACCAAGAGAAATGTACAGTGGAAGTGTGCACCTAATTAAATTCAGGCAGTTTATTACAAATTGACTCAATCTGAAAATCCCTAATTCCAAAATGAAAATATTTACGTTCATAATTCTTTAATTAGTTCAATCTTGACTTTCCTTATTTAAACCAGCTTGACAAAACTTTACTGAAAAGTCCTTCCTTACAGGACTGAAACTATTTTGCCAGATTAAAAAAAGAGAGTTTATTGCTATAACTGATCTCTACTACACCCTTTAGTTCAATTAGTCCCTTGTTCTCTTTAACCCAATGTTCTCTGCTTCAAGAGCTGATGCTCTAGTATAAGTTTTATATCCCAAACAGTGCAGAACATTTGCTAGGTGGGAGCTGGCAGAAAGCGAGGGAGGAGGGTTGGAGTTTATGGAGCCTAATCACATTATTTGTCTCAGCAGTTCTCAACCAGGGCCCCTTGAGGTCCTTCCAAGGGTCCCGCAGGGGGCCATGCAATGTTGGCTCTGCAAACATGACTCACAAGATGAACCCAAAAAGAAATCCACAGTATCAAAATCATTCAGACCTGCTGTGACCATTTAGACCTTTCGGAGTTCTTTGCATCAGAAAAACCACTCTACTTTCCTGTCCTCAGAAGAAAAACAGTTAAGACCTTGTGTTTTCTGAGAGCTGAGTTAAGTCCAACAAGGCTGAGGGCTCCTCTAGGCGTACGCTCTGGAGCCCGCAAGAACTGAGATGCAGGGTGTAGTCACACGTTCACTGGACATATTACAGTTAGGATGTATTAAAGTTAGCAATTTAGATCATCCTTGCCTGAAAAGGAGCAACTTTGCAGAGCTGCAGTGGCACTTAACATTTACCAAACTGCTTGGCTCTGGGTCTGCTTCTGCTTTAGGGGCACTTGGCTAGCGTTAAATTGAACACCTGAGCTAGAAAGACAGGCACGTTTAACATCAGAACAGGAGCAGGGCAGTCCTTTATACAGACAGCTTGAATGGCAGTTCCCTCAAATTAGCCCCAGTTATCACAGTGGGGAAGCATTACCTCAGTGCTTCACAGGCACTCAGGGGGACTTAAAAGAGATGAGCAGGTTTAATATGGAGCAGGTTGGTCCAGGATTTGACTTGCATAAAGGGATGGGGGGACACACGTGAGGCTTAGCCCGGACTGGTCTGAGGCAGCGCCTTAATTTGGACACCTCGCAGGTACGTCACGCGGGACAACGGGCTTGTGCGTCTACAGCAGCGGTTCGCAAGTGGGTGCCGTGGATAAAACTTCACGTGAAGACGAAGTAAAGGGAAGCTGTGGATCTAACGCAATTTTAAGTAATGGATGAGATGATCGGATTAGAAACTTTAATATCCAGATTGGTGCCCGCTACTTTTCCTTTTAAATTGGGACGTGCCCTTGGGCGCACGCACGTGGGGAGCCCCTGGCGCAGGATCCCGCTGTCCTGGGGGCCCTCAGGGTGCAGCTCTCGGATCCCGGACTACAAGGCTTTGCCCGGGGGATCCCCGGGGCTTCCCTGTGGGATCCCAGACGACACGCGCTTCGCCTGGGGGGTGCAGGTCCGCGGGATGCCAGGCAAGAGGCTCCGTCGCGGCGGTGGGTGCCGGGTCAGGCCGCCGCCGGCCGGGCTCTCCCCGCCGCCCCTCCCTCCCCCCGGCCCCGCTCACGTGCTGGTCGCTGCCCTGCCAGAAGTAGAAGGCGCCGATGGCGCCGACGAGCAGCAGCAGCGCC